ACAAAATATAATAATAAATTCGCCAATTCTATGTTTCTTAAAATTTTGCAAGAACAAAAAAAAAAACATGCTTTAACTGATAAAATGAGCATTAAATAATGACATACTTTAATATTGTATTATTTGTATTCAAATAATACAATATTAAAATATGAAGATCAGAAGAATCTTGAAGCTTTTTCCTCTGCAGCTTTTTTCATGCTTTTTAAAGCTGCATCATTGTATGCTTTATATATTTCATTTGAGTTTAGGTTATCAAAAGCGTTTTTGGCTAAACCATACATGTTCATACATTGAGTAAATGTGTTTATACTTGAACGACCTCGACCAATCTCTCGAAAAGCTATCACCGCTCTTGCATTTGCTTCAAATATACTTCTTCCAGTGGTATTACTGCTATTCTTTACACATTCTTTAGATGAATAAACAGTATGACTCCATTGGTCACAAGATGTACATTTTAACTCGAGATTATTTGAAAATCCCATTCTTTTTTGTGTGTTATCAAATAAATTAATGGTTAGCATATGACATTTTGGACAAGCTATCTCTAAAAATAGGTTTTTGAGAACAGAGAAGTTAATAAGGATATTATAGTCATTCTGGTCTTGACACTCCAAATGATTCTGAATACCCATATTTAGTTTTTTTGCACTAGAACACATGCTTATTGTATTTAAACTGTTTGTTTTGACCAATAGATCATTTTTTTGCTGTTTTCTAAAATGATTGAGAGGAGCCTTTCTTTTAAGTTTTCTTGCATTATTTTGCTTATTTCCTTTTGCCATTATTATATATTTAAGTCTAAAAGAGTAAGAACCAATAAAAATACAATTAAGTCATTAAACCACAATAAACATTCATAAAAATCTAATAAATAGTATATTTTATGTTGCATCATGTTGGTCAAAACGAAAAATATCCATTCAAATAATGACTTTTAGTTTATTAAAATCCATAAAACCTAAGATACACCAAACAACATTACTTTGATACGGAGTTGATGATTATTTGAAGAGGTAAACCCAAGATATTTGACACTTCAATTGAAGTCACAAATGAAGAAAAATGTCAAAAACAAAAATGTGAAGAAAAACTTTATATACCACTATATAAAAATTAGAAATAAAAGACTTTATATAAATTATACATATGAGATTCATATACCATTTTAAAGAGGATAAAATTCTGCTCATAAAAAACATTAATAAAAAAAAAAAAAAAATTTCAAAAAAAATCAAGATTTATTTCTTGGGTAACCACCTTAATGAATTCAAATAATTTATCAGCATGAAAATAATAGTCTGATCTTGTTTTGGTATATATATCTTCCTCGCTTCCATCGCTAAACATACCGATTAACTACCTATTTTTTGTTTTTAAATTTTTAGTTTACATTTATTAAATGTATAATATTAACTTGGCATCTGGTAGATTATTAAACTGATATTTCGCTAGAACCATATAAAAATTAAAGTATAAATGTAATACAATTAGTTAAAATCAAAACAGCAATCTAAAATAGTTGAAATAATATATGGTCAAATATTATGTCTCAAAAATATTTTAACAGATTATTCGTTCAAAAAATAATATTCTTTATTTTATTTTTAAAAACTGGAAATAAGATTGACAAATCAAAATTGGGTTGAACAACTTTATTCTAAAGATAAGATGCTCGATGGGTTGTACATAAATGTAAGCGGTTTGATAGATTGTAAATAAAAATAAAATGCTCGATAGGTTGTAATTAAAGAAAAGGTTGTTTGATAGGTTGTACATAAAGATAAGGTGTTCGATAGGTTGTATAAAATTAGCACTTTGTTTAACAAAACAGCAATTTGTTTGACAGAAGGGTTCGTAAATTACTATTATTTCGCAAACTATATTTACTAATTGCTTCAAGGGTGCATATATCTTTAAAAATATTTAATAATGGGTTATTCATAAACAAAATGTAAACATAAGATATTATAAATGTTAAGTTCATAAACGTTTAAAACATTCATATCTTTGATAAAGGTTTCGTATTTGAAAAATATATTACGTGCATTGCATGTTTCTGTTGCAGATATAGACGTCTTAACTTACTTTTACACCTACTTCCTCAGACAATATTGGTATAGTTAATTTATTTATGAATAAATGAGTAGTACAGGTGTTTTAAATTATTTTTATTTGAATAATTATTAGCTTTATATAGGATTCTAATATTTTTTGCAACTTTTGTATATAATTATTATGAGTTTTCCATGACATTTATCAAGATACCAAGGAACTTAATAAAAGAGCAAATACCAAGGAACTTAATAAAAGAAACTTCTTTAGTTTCTGCTTTATTGATAAAAAGTTTAGACAAATCTTTTGGTAAAGTCGTTTATTTGTCGAGGAACGGAAAAGATCCATTTTGTTTTGTCAACATTTAAGGTTAATTTATAGCATTTGAACCAATTAGAAATTTGTATAAATTATATACAATGAATAAGATGATATATGATTTCAATAGTTTTGAGTTAATAACGGATATGGAGATTAGGGGCTATAAGAAATACACTATTTGTCAACATTGTAAAAAGGGTATTTATGAATGATCTATATCTAAACTAACCAAAAATATCTATAAATTCTTTGTATAAAATTTAAATCAAATATGATAAAATCTATTGAAACATAAAATAATGAATGGTTTAATGCCTTCAATAACGTCTGTTGGTTTGTTTTTGTAAAATATATATATATATATATATATTTTAATGTAATTATCAAGATCCCAAAAGTTCTTACGGTATTATCAAAAAGCACCGCGAAAGAGCATTTAACTAGGAAGTTCACGCTTTTTTCTTTACCAATGTCGCTTAGACTAGAGCTAGTTTAGACTTGAGCCGACGAACTTAAACCACTGCGCCACGGCTGCACAATATAGATTGCAACAAAAATTAAATTTTTGTCATTGAAGTACCATTTTAAACATTTTATTATATATATATATATATATATATATATATATATATATATATATATATATATATATATATATATATATATATATATATATACATACATACACACAGGATAAATGCATAAACAGAGACTTATCACTATCTGAAAGTTTCAACTCCCACTCATCATCAACGTTTTGCTTCAGTTGATATGTAATATAACAAACAGATAAACAGAGTAGCCTGATTAAGTCTATACATTCCTTGTGAATTTTATTAAAAAACCCCGAAAGAATCAAAAGTTCTTGTTTCGATTGCCTCTACAAACGGAGAAACTTTGAGTTGAATTTGTCTGTCTACTGCGAGCTCTATATATATTACCATCAATCATGATAAGTTTGCACAAGTGCAAATTGGCATAAGTGAGCCAAAAGAATTTGCAAAAATTGGCATAAGTGCAAACTGGTAAAAGTGCAAAGCAGTTGCAAAAACTGGCACAAGTGCGAATCGGCAAGAGTGCGCAGACCAAATTTGCAATCATTGGCGTAAATGCGAATTGGCATAAGTACGAAGCAGTTACAGAAAGTGCGAACAGGCATAAGTGCGCCGAATAAATTTACAAACATTGGCATAAGTGCGAACTGACATAAGAGCGAAGCAGTGGCATAAGTGCGAGTCGGCATAAATGCAAACTGGCATAAGTGCGCCGAATAAATTAGCAAACATTGGCATAAGTGCGAAATACCAATTTGCATTTATGCCAATATTTGCAATTTTATTCAGCGCACTTATGCTGATTCACACTTATGCTAATGTTTGTAAACTTATTTAGCGCACTTATGCCAAGTGCTATACACTTATGCGAATGTTTGCAAAACCTTTTGGCTCACTCATCCCAATTCACACATATGCCAATTTTTTGCAACGTTTTGCACTCATGCCAGTTCACATTTATGCCAATTCGCGCTTATTCAGCCTCCCGCGTCTGAGAAGAAATGACATCTTGTCATTAAGGAAAAGCAAAGTACAAAATTACAAGTTAAAAACAACAACTTTTTAAGTTAATTTATTTCAACACACGCACAAACATATACTATATATATATATATATATATATATATATATATATATATATATATATATATATATATATATATATATATATATATATATATATATATATATATATATATATATTGTCAATTCCACAAAATCAGGACATTATGAGTAAAAAGTTAACTAATAGTTTGGGTCTTTTTTGTTTTCTTTTTCGATTTCTATGGTATTTAACAATGTTATATAGAATATCATAATAACATAAGACTTGCAAACAATTATAACTGTAACAAATTATATTGCATTTTTATCTGAAATGTGACGTGCGTGATAGATAAAAATGTGACGTGCGTGAAGTACACAATTTTGGAAAATGTATTACCACTTTCATGTACTACACATTCTGGTGTCTTTTTTAACATTTTCCGTTTTGTTATAGATTCAAGTATATTGCGTTTAAAAACGACACAGATAGTGTTTATAACGGCTCAGGAAAATAGTGTTTTTTGATGATAAAATTATGATTTGTCCAATTCAAGTGACGTGCGTGACCATCATTATATGTATAAATTAAATGTTTTACATACTTAAAATTAAGAATTTATGTTTTTATGTTGTAAAAGTCATGTTTGGCAACAGATTTATGCATCTAATAGTGCTCTATATTTTTTTATTATAAAATTTGAGCTTATATACATCTAAAAAGTGATGTGCGTGACGTATGGAATTGACCATATATATATATATATATATATATATATATATATATATATATATATATATATATATATATATATATATATATATATATATATATATATATATATATATATATATATATATATATATATATATATATATACATATATATATATATATATATATATATATATATATATATATATATATATATATATATATATATATATATATATATATATATATATATATATATATAAAGATCATTTATTTACTTCTGGCTATGCGTCAGCAATTCACTATAAATATCGCCTATAATACAAGGATTTATTGAAATCAGTACAAAAGTAAGAAAAATAAAAAAAAAAAATTGCAGATGTCACAAAGTTGATCACGTTCTTTACAAGGTTGCATAAGAACCAAACATAGCTAAAATAAACATTTGTTTAAATAATTGTAATAAAATACAATTTTTTTTTTTTTTTTTTTTTAAATAAAGCAAATCTTACTTAATTGACGAGAGCATTCGTTAAGTTTCACATCAATTCTAGATTTCAACTTGCTTAAAGTAGCTTTGATAGCACTGTACATTGTGAGACGCGAGTACATAGCAATATATTGTCTTTGAAGACTATTTTTCTGCTCATTGTAAACGTTACAATCAATAACTTTTCGTAAAGTATTTCTATCATCAAGCAAAAGTTTAATTTCTTTAACTATATTCTCTATATCTTGATTAACTAAGCTGCTGGCATCAGTTAAAAGTTGACCACAGGCTAGACATAAATATAGCATAATTAAAAATTGTCCTTAAAAACTTACAGAATTAAAAAAATATATTTTAAACAACTATTGGTAATTATTACCTTTTGCTTTCCAACCTCCCCAAGTTCTGAGTATTTTTAACCAAGTTTCGTTATTTAAAACAGATTGACTAATAAGATTAGCTTGCATGTATGGCCATTTCTGGCAATCCACAGATTTCAGTATCGCTATTTCTGAAAAAAAAAAATAATAATAATAATTTCGCATATCATTTTTATTACCATATTAAAGTAACATTAAAAACAACATCTAAAAATGTAAACTTTGATTCGAAAGTTGGTCGAGAACTTTAAGCATATCTTATAGTTCTCGACCAACTTTCGAATTTAGAAAAATACTCGGATTCCTACGTGCTTAGACTCGATGTCGTTAAAAAATCGTTAAGTTACCGTTTAAAAACAAGAAAAAAAGAGTCTCACAAGCAGTCATAGAATTAAAAGTTGTGGCACGTCTTTGCGTGCAAGTCAGTTTTTAGATCTAACTTCACTCTGATAATTGAGGGAAGCAAATTTTAAATATTTTCTTATTGAAAACCAAAAAATGTTTTTTCTAGAACTTTTCTCTTTTTAAAAACATAATTCTACCTCAAAGAAAAAAAAAATTAAGAGCTTTTTAAAAAATTTGATAACTTCCAAAATTACTTTAAAACTTAAGAAAAAAAATCTAAAACATTAAAAAAAAAAAAAAATAGGAGCAAAGAAAATCTAAAACATTAAAAAAATAATACTTTTGCAAAAGTGAAAAAGTAAAAACTTGTAAAAAATATTGAAGGACTTGTAAAAAAAATTAAAGTATGTGAACTGGTGGGTTTATACATTCTAGACTCTTTATCAAACCATTACTAAAAATGATATAGGTCTTTACCGAGACGACGGATTGATGGTAATGCGCAAAAAAACTACCGCACAGTTAGACAAAGTCAGAAAAAATATAAATAAGATATTAAAAAAGATCGGATTTCAAATAGAGGTTCAAACCACTCTAAACAGTGTTAATTTTCTTGACGTAACTTTTAATCTTTGTAAAAACTCCTACCAACCTTTTAAAAAACAAAATGACCAACTGCTCTAATCCACACCGAATCAAGCAACTCGCCCCAAGTTCTTAAGCAAATCTCTCTTTCCATTAATGATCGACTATCGCAAAATTCTTCCAATGAAAAAATATCTAACGCATCAAAAGCAGAATACGAAGAAGCACTTAAACAAAACGGTTTTAAAAACTTTAACTTAAAGTACAACCCAAAAACAAGACACCTCCCAAAAGAAAAAGGAATATAATTTGGTTTAATCCACCATACAATAAAAGCGTCTCCACCAATGTTTGCCAAATCTTTTTGCAATTAATAAATAAACATTTCCCACCTTTAAACTCATTGCATAAACTATTCAATCGAATCACTACAAAAATTAGCTGCAGCTGCTCAAACAATATTTCAAAAACCATAAAAAGCCACAACAAAAAAACAAATTTAATTAACACCACTGAAAATCTCCCTTGCAATTGTGAACAAAAAAAAATCTGCCCGCTGAATAAAAATTGTAGAGCGACAAACATCATTTACAAATGCATAACATCTTCCCCAAACACACCCAGCAAAGTATACATTGGTTTATCAGAAGGAGTGTGGAAAAAGAGGTCTGCAAACTACAAGCAATCATTTTCAAATAAGAAACTTTCAAATGTAACCACTCTCTCAAAACATATATGGGAAACTAGGGAAAAACTGAAAGAAACACCAGATGCTGAAGAGCTACTTAATAAAAAAACAGTTAATTTCCAAGTGTCGTCACGAAAATAAATTTCTATTAAGCAACCACAAACCTGAAGATTAGATTCACGCGGTCGTAACAATAAAAAAGTTTTTTCTGTATAGTTTCAATTGTATATAATTTTTTAAACAAACAAACTATATTTGTATTTCACCTGATGATAGTAACAACATGAAACTTAAAGTTGTGAAAATCACGTAGTTTTATTTTCTACTATATATATATATATATATATATATATATATATATATATATATATATATATATATATATATATATATATATATATATATATATATATATATATATATATATATATATATATATATATATATATATATATATATATATATATATATATATATATATATATATATATATGTATATATATATATATATATATATATATATATATATATATATATATATATATATATATATATAAAATAAATAATACAATAACACTCAAACGTAAAACAGTGCTCAATATTGCGATAATAGAGCAATAAATATTTAATAATCTAAATATTTTACATCTTTACAAATTTTGAGTTTTCGACATCAATGATTTTTATCCTTCAATAAGTAAAAAAATGCTTAACAATGCAATCAACTTTGCCGGAAAACATCTAATATATATAAACATGAAAATAAAATATTAATAAGACACGCAAGAAATTCTTTACTTTTTAACAACGAAGATACGTGGATTAAGAAAAAAGGTGGACTCTTTGATGTTAAAATTGGCGCTTATGATGGTGCTGAAGTATGTGAGTTAGCAGGGATTTTTTTCCCCCCAACTTTCGCAGTATTATAATAGAGATAAATTTGGTCTATATCGTGATGACGGGCTAGCGATATTTAAAAACAAAAATGGCCAGCAAATGGAGAAAATCAAAAAACAATTTGTAAAAATTTTTAAAAATAACGATCCTTTTATTTCTATTCAATCCAATATAAAAATAGTTAATTATCTTGACGTGACATTTGAGCTCAATAACAATTCTTTTCAACCATACCGTAAATGCGACAATGAGCTGAATTATGTTCACTTTTATTCAAACCACCCACATAGTATTATCAAAAGACTCCCTCACACTGTTGAATTAAGATTATCTGCCACTTCAGTAAATAAATCTGTTTTTTATAATGTCATCCCACCTTATGAAGAAGCTTTAAAAAAAGTACGGCTATAATTGTAAATTGAAATACCAACCTCAAGTTACCTTGACTAAAAACAAAAATCGAATGTGAAAAGGCATATGGTACAACCTTCCATTTAGTCAGAATGTGGAAACAAAAAGGCAGTTGTTTACTTGCATTAATTGACCTGCACTTTCCAGTAAACCATAAACTTCATAAAATATTTAACAGAAATTCAAGCAAAGTCAGTTATAGCTGTATGCAAAACGTAAAGTCTATAATTAGTTCACATAACCACAAGATTTTACACAGTGATACAAATTTGAATGCAAGAACTTGCAACTGCATTACAAAGACTGCTTGCCCATTGAACAATCAGTGTTTATTAACTTATATTGTTTATCAGGCTACTGTGATTAATGAAAATCCTAATACTAAAGAAAAAAAGAAAATATATTTCGGTATCAGCGAAACACCATTCAAACTTAGATAAGCAAATCATTTAAAATCTTTTAATGCTGTGAAATACAGAAATGATACCGAGCTTTCTAAGGAGATTTGGAATTTAAAAAAACAAACAAACATAAAGCACACAATAAAGTGGAAAATAAAACGCTATAAACCTATTAAAACAACATCCAAAATTTGTAACCTTTTCATAAGAAATCTATAATTTTATATCGCGAAGAAAACAACCTGCTCAATAAAAAGACGAAATATTATGTAAGTGTCGACATTCCAACAAATTTTTACTGTCCTCTTTTGATACCGGAGACTAAATTGTTACATCTTTTATTACGTCAGAAGACGTTCTACCGTAATTTTTAATTCATTTGTAAAAGAGTTTTTTTATATAGTTTAATAGCTAATGATTGCCGTGTATGGCACGAAACTTTAAGTGCTATTAATAATATTGTTTTTCATTTAAACAAAATTTAAATATATATATATATATATATATATATATATATATATATATATATATATATATATATATATATATATATTTAAATTTCACATTAATATATATATAACTAATTAGACTATTTATATTGAAATGCAAACAATATGTTTAATACAATTTTTTTTTTCAATAAAAAATTTATCAATAACACACCCAAGTCTCAGGGAAAACTCAGGGAACTTAAAGAGTTCAACTCAGGGAAAAACATTCTTTACTCAGGGAATACTCAGAGAGAACTCTTGGGAAAAATTTAAAAATTATAGTGGCAACCCTGTGTGTGTGTGTGTGTGTGTGTATATATATATATATATATATATATATATATATATATATATATATATATATATATATACAATTGTATCATTTGCATTCACAAACTAAAAGAATGATTTAATAATCTAATACATGAATATTAAACTCAAAAATAAATTGAATAACTCCAGTATCACTATTTCGTATATGCATTTATTTGAAAATATAAGAAATTTCATAATCTGGTACCAAGTGGTAAACATTAGAAAATATGATGCAAGGAAGTATTGCAAGATGAGGTAAAAAGCATTACAAAGTCTAGTGTAAAAGAGTATTGCCAAAGCCTGTAAAACATTTAATTAACTGATTAAATTACCATCCAATTATTGACTTTGGAATATCTCTCAGGAAAAAAAGTAAATAATAAAAAAAAAATAGCCTCTGTATAAACGCATTTTTATAAAAATTGTGATAAAGCTTGATTTAAATGAAAAATGAATATGAGCAACTTAATTTTTTTAAAAAAACTTTCGATAGGTAACTTCATTGCAACTTTACAGCTTTGTGTGGAACGTTTTTTTATTGTTACTGGATTTATCTACTCAAGGTTAAAGTAACTACAATTGAGGAGGCTATTCATTTATTTATTTTGTTTCACAACCCTTTTAATGCTTTTAAACCGCTTTCTCAACCCGAAAGCTCCAAAATATCAACCATGACAAATGAGATCTTAGCACAAAAAAACAAGCTAAGCACAATACAAGAAGGAGTGTAATGATGAACAAACTACACACACTTCTCACATATAAAGCAAGTGATCTACTGTATATTACCACTATAATATCCATAATTACTTCAACAAGATAAAACCTTTGCTCACAAATTAAGAGACAAAATGGTGCTTTTTTTAGAGCTGTAATCAAACTGATACTTTCTCTATTCAATTATTTAGAGATGCCTAAGAAAATATTTTTCACATTATCTTAGTTAAACTTTCTTTATTTCTTATTTTTTTATTATCTGAAGTTTAAAAATAATTAATAAATGACGAATTTTACATTTTAAAACAAAAAATATGTTTTAAGAATTTTGTCCTATCTTGTCCACTTCTTCCATAAATGTTGTTTGAATTCATTTTGATTATCAGTTGTTTAAATAATAATTGGATAGATTTATTTAAAATGAATCAATCAAATTAAATTCTTATTAAAAATTTTCTTAGTTTTCAGTAGTATGATTTTCGAAAAATTTCAGTTTAGCATTTTTGATAGATTTTTAATTAATTAAATTTTATTAGGTCCAGTCTAGTACATCAGTGAAAAAGTATATTTTTAAAAAACAACAACATTGAAAAATAACCTACTGTTGTCACATAACTCAGAGTTGCACATCTCTTCCTTAAAAAAATCTCCATTACAACTGCTGAAATCAATTGCTTCACAAAATCTTTGAAATTTCAATTTTCCTTGCTTTTCATTTTTTACACACAACTCACTGCAAGTACCAATTTGTTCCCAGGAGCTCCAAACATTGGTTGCTTAAAAAATTTACTCGCATTTAAACAAATAATTTTACAACATTAAATAGTTTATTAATTTTGGGTTATAACTTAAATATAAACTTGTGTTTATTATTTTTCAACTTTAAAACAAATAAATACAGTTTTTAAGAAAAAACCTTTGCATGGTTACACACATTTGGAGAACACCCTTTTTATTTATAAGTTAACAAAAAACAATATGAAAAGTGATTAGAAGGCTGTAAATACAAGCCTATTTCACACTTAATGTAATTCATGTATTAATGTAAACTTATTTATACATTATACATTATATAATAAATGTATTGATGTGATTATACATTACAGTATAAAATAATTGTATTGATGTGAACTTATTAAATATATAGATAAAAATGATAATCGCCATCACTATCTTTACTATAATCACAAAAAATTTAAACTAAAAAACTATTAAAAAATAACCAAAAATTGTTTATTCATCAACTAATATTTTATTGGTTTCTTGTGAGTTTATAAACAAAAAGACAGTTAAATGTTCAAGTGCAAGGTATTTTTTAAGGTATGTCAAGTGCAACTTTAGTGTTTCTTACCATTCTTATGTTTAGTATCAGTGGTCTAACAACAGCAAGGCCAGTGTAAGCAATATTTACTGTCTCTCAAACAACTAGGTCCAAGGTCACGAGTTTTAGGAACCTCAAGATGTATTTAAAGAGTTTTTTTTGTTTGTTTTTTTAGTAAAAGTTATTTTTTCAGAGAAACAGAAATTAGGCACCTGGACCAATATGCCTACTGGCCAAAATTATTTTGCTACACCACTGTGCAAAACACATATAAACCAAGCTGTATTCCTAGGTTCCCATCACCACAAGTTTTATTTCTTAATCTACATATAAGCAATGATTTATATGTAGATTAAGAAATAAAACTTGTGGTGATGGGAACCTAGGAAAAAAAATACCCTAAAACATATACCATCCCTACCCCAAATGTGAGGGCAAAAAATCAGTAACTTTTATTTTTTACATTCTCTTTCACTAAATTTAAGTCGACATGTTTTAAAATTCAAAATTTAAAGGTTATGATTATATAAAGTTTGCGCCCAAAGCGAATAAGGTGGTTATTTCAACATTTTCCTTAACATTCTAAAGTGATATAAATAATATTCCTCTTTTTCTAAAATAACATACTTAAACAGAAGAATTTGGTATTTCAGCTACTTATATATTAATGTTTAGGTACATTCTTAAAAAATACAAAACTATAATTGCCAACTAAAAAAAAACTTACTTAAAAAACTTAAACTCAAACTTTAGAAAAACACATGATCATCAACTTTTAATGACAAGTTTTTAATGACTTTATTACGTATGAAAATTTTGGGGCTTGGCAATAAGACTATTTTTGTCTCCTTCTTGCCCTCACCATTTGTATATTTTACAAAAGAAAAGTAAACACTTGTAACGGTAAATTTAGAAAAATATAAAATTATAAAAATTAAAAATCAGGGGAAGCTGCTCAAAATTTATATGGTCATAACTTTTGAACACTAAGAGATTATTGCATGTCATTAGAGAAATGTTAATGAACTTAAACTTAGTTTAAAATGTTAAAAAAAATTTATATATAAATGTTACAAACTGGTTGCTCTCACGCTAATAGCATGAAAAGGAGGTAAATAATTTAGAGGTTTATTGTTAACAGACTCTGATTATTACAATACTTTTGAAAAGCTTTACATAAACTTGAATATATTTATGCTTGGAGTTTGCTCCATGTCGTTACATAAAGTTAAACAAAAACCTTGCTATGGACCTGATTTTAAATATGTGATTAGAATCTAGTTGTTTAAATATTGTAATTTGCAGTTTTGTTAACTTTTTTTACAATAAATTTTTGAAAATTTCATGTAAAAAAAGTAACAAAAATTTACTGAAAAAAAAGGACTTGATGTTATTTCATCTATATGATCACTTGACACTTTTCTTCCCTATTGACCTTATAATCTTAAATTTAAAAGTGTGCTTTTTTAAACCACCCTACTAAATTTGTGCGGTACCATGAAACACTTTTGATTTTTATTTCGTAACAAATACTTTAACATGCTTTTTTTTAAAGCGATTGGTTTAATTTGTAGAATGAAAATATATCCACAAAATAAATTCTATAAATTACCAAAATATAACAGGTTAAACTTGTGAGACTAGTTCAAGTAAAATTGAAATTTATTTCAACGTACCCGACCCATAGGTTACTTTGATACACACTACTCATTAAAAAAGTAAATAAAAAGTGTAAAACATAGAGAAAAGGCAGATTTTAATTTGAAATAAAAATAAATTAATATTTATAACCTAAAAAATGCATTCAATGGTCCAAATCACTCAGAAGACCAGATAATATATCATTCTAGGTGTTATTCTTAAGTGTCAGTAAATAATGGCTTTGTATCAAAAATGGGATCTCCTACAAGCAGATTTACATAAATCTTTATTTATCGCAAATTTTGAACCAACTCAGGCCTTTTGATGTCAAATAATTTTTTTTCCAAAAAAAGAGCTCTAGTAATAACTGTTTTACTATATGAAAGTAACAACTCTTAAAGTCTTATATATAGACAATCACAACTCTTATATATAGAATAGACTAATTGAAATTAGTTTATTCCAAACAACAGTTTTATAAATAGCTATTAATAAATAAACAAAATAAAAATAATAATATTTTTCATTTCTGTTAGAGTGATTATTATGACCAGGGCCAACCAGGGCCATTTGAACGGGAATGTAGGGGGTACTGCCACTCTAAACTGTTATACATGCATTTGAGTTAGCACATTTGTACATTTAGCTTAGCAATTGCCAGGTTTTGAAGTATAGTTGGCAAATGTCAATTATTAAGAACCTACTTTTTGTGTGTGTGTCTCTAGTTGGCAAAAAACAAATACAACACCCCCTCCCCATGAAAGACCTCTTTGGGACAGCCCTGACATTAACCACACTGATTAAGAGAAGCGGCCCACTAACCTATTTCTTCCCGACAACAAGTTTATATCAAAACAAATAAATAAAAAAATGCTTTTTTAAAGCTTTTTTGCAAAAAAATCTTTTTTTCTAAAAGGTTACAATCCTTAACTTAAAAAAAAAACCAAATAAAGGTACAGAGAACCAGGTACAGCCATATATTTGAATTAATAGTGCGCTCTAACGAACAGTGACAGTGAACAGTCAAGTTTTACACATGCATGAATTACCCATAGAAATTATGCTCCCTTTCCCCCCAGGCCAAAGTTTCATTATGGCTACAAACATATTTCTGCTCAAAAAAAAAAGGAATAAAAAACCAATGATTATTTAGCAGCTTCTATTAGCATTCATGCAGCAGGGAGCCCATCTCTACACTACTGGTGTATCGGCATGTTGACTATATTTGCCCCTAATTATAATAGAACTACCCTTTATGAAAAAGATAAAAAAAATCCTTTCCCAATGCCCCACTACAAACACTGCCCACATACATCAAAGTATTACCAATCGATTTGAATACGCTACCTATCTCAAAATTTTTATTAAAGCAACATAAAATAATTGTTCTTTGAGAAAGTATATAATATAACTTACTTTTTACTTACTTAAGAAGTAAAGTATAAAATTTCAAAGACAAAATTTACTTTTACTTGTAATTGTAAACAACAATTTTTTTTAAATTACTTTTATGTAAGCTGTTTTTGCTAGTTACTTTTACACATAAAAGTAATTTATTGTTATGATCTAGTTTTATTTTACTTTGTAAAGTAAGTGTTATGTTCACATAAGTTTACTTCATAAATAACTTCTTTTATAATATTATATTCACATAAGTTTACTTCATAAATAACTTCTTTTTACATATAAAAAGTAAATTACATTTCAATATAAATTTTTTATATAATTATAACCAATATATATATATATATATATATATATATATATATATATATATATATATATATATATATATATATATATATATATATATATATATATATATATACATACATACATATATATATATATATATATATATATATATATATATATATATATATATATATATATATATATATATATATATATATATATATATATATATATATATATATATATATATTTATATATATATGTATATGTATATGCATATGTATATGTATATATATATATATATATATATATATATATATATATATATATATATATATATATATATATATATATATATATATATATAGATAAATGTATATATATATATATATATATATATATATATATATATATATATATATATATATATATATATATATATATGTATATATATATATATATATATATATATATATATATATATATATATATATATATATATATATATATATATATATGAATATGTATATGTATATGTATATGATATATATATATATATATATATATATATATATATATATATATATATATATATATATATATATATATATATATATATATATATATATATAATAAAGTATATAAATGGTAGGTGTAAAACAGACCTAATGTGACCCATTTTACGGGTCCAGACAGCTAGTACTGTTGATTTATATTACGTAATAAATTTATTGTTTTCAACTATGGTAAATTAATAATTGAAATAATTACGAAAAACTATTTCAATAAATATTTTAAAATCAGCAACATTACATACTGTAAACATATATAAAAACAAGTATAAAAAAATATAAAAAAAAGTGTATAAACAAATATAAAAAACAAAGTGTAAAAATAATTATATACTGTAGCAGAGCATCGTGGATGGATTAGTGACATTTTTCCCAACAAAACCATCTTTACATTTACAGAAATAACTCCCATTAGTGTTTATACAATCAGCATTAGGTTGACAAACTGAAATATTTCTTTTGCACTCATTTATATCTAAAATAAATAAAAAAAGTAAACAACAATACAAACACAAAAGATATATTAACAAATTCAATGAAACAAATGACTGAAGAAAACCTTGACATTGTCCAAATTCATTTTTTTCATAACCAGTCAGACATCTACATTCAAAACTTGAGTTTGAATCAAAACATTGTTGATTATAAGGGCATAAAGATATATTATTCATCAAAGACTGATTGCACACACTTACATTAATTGCTAATAAAAAAAGAGAAAAAAATTTAAAAGTTTATAAAAAATTTCAAACACATAGAAAGTATTATGGACCAGAGAGTTTATTTATTATGAAGAATAATCTAACTGTTTATAAAAAACTGTTCATCTTTTTAAACAAGTTAAAGACTGAATAAATTGTAACATCACCTATACACTCATCTCCTACTTTTTGGTAACCATCACGACACAAACATGTAAAACTCAGATTCGCATAAACATTTTGGCAGAACTGATGAGGTTTTATGCAATTTTTTGTACCTTGACATTGATCAATTACTAAAAAAAAATAAGAATATTTTTTATAACAAAATAGTACAAATTGATTTTAATGATCTGATTACATAGATGGTCATTTTCGGTAACATGGTTTCAGAAAATAATAGGTGGTCATATAGGTAACATGATTTTTGAGAACAATTCAATTAAAACTCATTACATAAGTTTGCAAGCATATGAAATTTGATTTGCATAAACTGCATAAACTTGGTTTAACATAAGTCATGGTAACTCGTGGGTAAATGTTACACATTCAAAGGAATTACTTAAATAAAAATTTTTACCTTCACAGTTAGACATATAGTTAGGGAAATAACCAAAATTACATGTACAACCAGAATTACCATTCATAGTGCATTTGGAATTTAATGGACAGCTACAGTTGTTTACTAAATCAAATTTAAAAAATAAAAATATCTGAATTTTCACAAGAAAAACTCAACAATCAGTTTTACTTACATTGACACTGTGAAGAAGTATTTAATGAAAAACCAAAAGCACAAGAACATTTATAAGAACCAACTGTGTTGATGCAAAAAGCATTTACTCCATTACACAATGTTGAACACTCATTAATATCTAGAAAAAAAGTCATAATTATAAAACAAAAAAGCACAATGTACGCCATATATTACAAACTAACAGATAAAATGCTTTTATCTCTCCTGAAAAAACAACCCATACTCTATAAAAGAAATTTAAAAAAATAATAAAAAAAGTAAAAGAAAAAATATAAACACATCGTTTAGTTTATCAAAAGAAATAAATTTCTATTAACCAAAAAAAGTGATTAGCAAAGTTTTGATAGAGTTTTGATAAACTGGGTTTATCAAAAGTTGCAGGTAAACCCATTTTTTTGAGAAACTGTTATCTAGATCTACAGAGGTAATATGTAATGTCAGAGATGCATGCAGTCTTCTACTGTGGATAAAAAACTTTTTTTTTTTATAAAAAATCAGGAGCAGTTTCAGTTAACCTTTAAATTGATGAATTAGCAATTAAGTTTAATGTTAGGACTTTCATTCAAGATCTCAAATAACTGCAAAGTAGAAAAAAAAAAAAAAAGTTTAAACAATTATAACCTTTTAAAATGGTAATGCGATTGGTTGTAGCAAAACAGGGTGTGGTTTATATAATGTGTATATAGCAATACATATATGCGCATATTATAAAAGATAGTTAAGTTTATATTTAATACTTTTTATCTGTACCACTACAGTTTTCTCTTATTAGTAAAAAACCAATAAGAGAAATGCACAATAAAATAACTTACCAACACAACTGTTGCTTCCATCTTTTGCTAACTCCCAACCACTTGGACAAGAGCAACTATAAGGTTTACCAGTCTCAAATATGTCTTGATTATAACATATCCCACGAACTGAATCACATGGTTTAGTTGAACTGCATTCATTTAAATCTTTAAAATTCATTTAAAACTTTTAGATTTAATTCAAAAAATATCAAATTTATTTAGAATAAATGTCTCTATATACTATCATTTTTTAAATTTGTATATCTGTAACAAAATTTATAGTTAGCAATTAACAGTTGATGTAATGTGATTTAGTGACAAATAAACATTTATGAACAGTTTCCATTCATAATTATTCGAATGGCATTTATTTTTAAAATTCTATTTTTTCTTTAATTATTTTTTATGTTTATTTTTGCACTATTAAATAATTTAAAAGTATTTTGGTTAAAATGAAAATGCTTAAGTGGGCAAAACTGCATAAAAAATGGACTATGAATAACACTAAACGCGGACTGACGTGTCAATGTTTTATATCCTTGGTTCCAAGATAAGATTGTTTGTCTGGAATAATCGTAGTTTACTTGTACACCTAAAAAAATATGCTACATCTTCGGAAAGAAGGGTAAATGAGAATTTATTCATTTTTTCAGAAGAAAATGACTTGAAGCTTAAATCTAAAAAATATTTTAAAAAAAGATTGTGTAAGTTATTTGACAGAATTCCAGAACAATTAAATATTAAACAAAATGATTTAGCCTCCCCAATTGCACATTCTCCCCTCTATCAGATTTTTATGGGAGGAATTTAAAGTAATGTCAAAAAGTAATGCCTAATGATGCATAAGATGTGGAAAAAGCTTTTTAGTTAGTGTCATAAAATTGACTTCAACAAATTAGATAAGTTTATAAGTAGAATGCCAACAATATGAATAGCGGTAATTGTTGCTAAGGGTGATTAAAAGGCAAGTAAATTATAAACTAATCTAATCAAAATTTATATTCATATTTTTGTTAATCTAATAAAAAGGAAGATAACGTATCATTCAGGTAGAATTTACAGCTTCTCTTCCTATGGTAAGTAAAACTATGATATCTTATATTAAAAAGAACGACCATTTGAATTGGATGTTATTGAAATTTATGACAAGTTGGCATATTTAAATATTTAAAAGAACAATATCATAAGCAGTGTATGTGATGAACAAAATCACCTAATGCAATATTTTATGCTCATAAAACTAAAACACATTATCAATGAGTGGAATTATGTGCGCTCGGCATCAATTCTTCAAAAGCAATATTCAGATTTGGAAATTCGTTCCCATGGGGTCATCAATAAATTACATATGCAGGTATGAGGAGGAAATAATAAAAAACAAGTAGAATCCAATCAACTGGGTCTCTGATGAGATTTATATTTATCCAACTTAACGAATTAAGCAAAGCTCTCCATATGTCAGATTTTTCAAATTATTTAACTTATGGGGGTTAGGAGATTAGTATTTTGAATTTTTCTGTTTTATGTCTAATTTTTAGTTTTGTTCAACTTTTTTAATAAGTAGACTTTAATATGAGCTGATTCGAAGATGAAAGTTAACCAATTCAAAGAAGTGAAAGTATTTAGTTTGTTAAATTATATTTTACACAAAAGTATTTGGTATTCAAATGTTTTGAATTTAATCAGATGTTTTTAAATTTTAAATATAATAGTTTTGAATTTTAAATAAAATAATAATTAATTAATAGAATGTGATTAAACATGTACAAAATTGATGCTATAAGTGAAGTTTTAGTTTGATAAAATTATAATAATCTAGTTATTTAAATTTTAGACATTTAAGTTTATAATTATTATTGAAGTATTGCAAGTTTTGATATTTTATTACATGGACTTTTATGCAATTCAAAATAAAAGTCTTAGACAAAGTTTTTTGTCAAATGGACCCAAAAAATGTACAAGTTAACAAACAGTTCGACATAACCAGGGTATGATTAAGTGGATAATATGTAAAAGTTAAATAGGAATTAAAAAAAAAAATGTCATGCTGAATATAACTTTCAAATAGAAGAAATGAATCAATGGCTTTCTTGCACTGAGATTTTTAATTTATGCATGATGTACTTTAAAACAAACATAAATTCTTTATTTAACAATATGCAAACAAATTTAAGCATATTTTGACTTTTACCAAAAATATTTACTATAAAATTAACTGATAATTTCCTCCCTGGCATGATCTTCTGACAAGCGCAATTTTTTATTTTTGCTTTTATTAGCAAAATTAGCAAGTGCTATTTGTCGCACCCGAAAGACATGAAATTTCAAGTGCATCGACCAATTGCTCTAGCATCATCAAAAGCCCTGATAAGTATTCTTTTGTTTTAAACAGTTTTCAAATAAAATCTTTTCTTACACGCAACAATAAACTGTAATATTATTTCTCTTTGAAAAAATAAGGTTGGTCTTTTAACCAAGTTTAAATAAAAGTAATGCAAAATACATTGACTATACTCTATTGTATATATATATATATATATATATATATATATATATATATATATATATATATATATATATATATATATATATATATATATATATATATATATATATATATATATATATATAACAATAAACTGTAATATTATTTCTCTTTGAAAAAATAAGGTTGGTCTTTTAACCAAGTTTAAATAAAAGTAATGCAAAATACATTGACTATACTCTATTGTATATATATATATATATATATATATATATATATATATATATATATATATATATATATATATATATATATATATATATATATATATATATATATATATATATATATATATATATATATATATATATATATATATATATATATATATATATATATATATATATATGTTGACAAACAAAACTTATTTTCAATTACTGAAATACAACTAAAAAAACAACCAATTAAAATTATGTAAAAGTAAATAAACTTAATACTACAATATCTGAATACTTTTAAGTTTTGCAATGCAGTGTTATTTTATTTATAGAATAAAAAAATCTTTAATAAGCAAATTTTTATTATTTTTTTCTATTTGTTAATTCCAAGTTAATTTCATTAACAAATACATTTTCCTTGTTCTTAATCTAAAAAATATATGGATTGATAAAAAAATTTAAATATACCTTGACATAAACCTGATGTTGTGTTATAAAAGGAACCTGTAATATTGCAGTGACACTCGTACGATCCTATTGTATTAATGCAAGTTGTGTTAGGAGTATTACATGATGTTTCACATTCATTTATGTCTAAAAGAAATATTCTAAAGTGTAAGTTATACAACAAGAAAAATAATATTACCACTAAAAATTAAACTAAAAATTTAAACTTCACACACCAACACAACCGCTCGAGTAATCTTTAAATTTATATCCATCTATACATGAGCAGATAAAACTACCAATCAAATTTGTGCATTGACTATTCTTGTAACAGACATTTGGTACAGATAAACACTCATTAATATCTTGGTAAAAAATAAAATTATAAACAGCATGTTATTTCAGTAGAACTTTAAAAAAATAAATAAATAACATGTTATTAAACCAGAATTAAAAAAATAAACTATAAAATAAAAAATAAAACAATTACTAATAATTTAAACATTATAATAAAAGTTTAAACATTATAATTAGTAATAATTTATTACTTTTTTAAAAAATTGTAAATGATATTAAATTACCTTCACATGTTACAAGGTTATCAAAAGAAATAAAACCATTCTTGCAATAGCACTTTGCATAAGTAGAGTTGACCTCACTGCATGTTTGATTTTTATACGAAAAACAATCAATAGGACCACATGGAGCTAAATAATTAAATTTTACAAATAAAAAATGTAATAAAAATAAGATCTTCATAGATTTACATTTTGAAATTTTTACACCAAAAATGATTAAAATTTTAACATCAAGAAACCAAAGATTAATCACACACTAATTGCTTCTGGAAAGTGCAAATGATATTACAATTTTACTGATTAACAGATATGGGACTCATGTTTCAGTTCAGACAGTCAACCAAGATCTCAAAAGAATTGGTTTTCAATCGAAAAAGATGATCAAATAACTATTGTTTGTTTCTAGTCACGGCCAACAAAAAGAAAAAAAATGTGATTAAGCTGTCCTGACCAGCTTAATCACATACCGCAAATACACACACACAAACACACACAGAGATATATAATTCAATTTGTTTCTCCGCACAGCAGCATTGCTTGTCAAGGTTCGTGTTTAAATTACAGAAAAATATTTAGTATTGTTAAAATATTAAATTTTTTTACTATGTTTTGTTTTTATTCAAAAAGTAATTAAAACCACTGCTATTTTAGGACTTTAAACTGGGTAAATTCAATGAAAAACACTGGGTAATTTGAGCATGATCCTATTACACAAAAATGGCATCTTTAAATAAAGTCAAAACTAAATGTTTCTATGCACTGTTTTTCAAACAAAAATGAAACAGATTTTTAGCTAACATATTTTTCTTTATGAAAAAATTATTTTCAGTATTTTAGCACCAAAATTTTGTGCCAATGATTTATTCATGCATAATAATATTATTTTAACAACGCAAAAAACTAAACAGCGTTTTAATTAGATGATAGCCGCTAATTACTGCATATAAATTTATGCTAATTGAACTGATTCCTGTTATCAATACATAAAGTCGATTCAAAAAATACAAAGCAACTTTAACTTCACTGCTTACATCTAAGAAATCTTTAAGTATGCTCATATTACCAAGGTACTAATATTACCGTAATCTACCCTATATAAAAACTAAACTTCCAATAAGTCGAACTTCCACCAACTCAAAGCACTTTTAAACTTTTCCTGATTCCTTATTAATACTTTCACATAAAAATTAATTAACAACTTGAGCCTCTGATAATTAAAACCAATCTAAGACAAAACATTTTAATTTGAAAACACTGTAGGTAATATTCTTCTGATTAATCAAACTTTACAAGGAAAATAAAAAAAAGTCTTGGTGAAGGTTTCTTTCATTAAATTAAACTTTTCATCTTTTTTTTTTTTTTTTTTATTTTAATTCACCTCCTCAAGGCCGAGAAGGCCACTACAGACGAGGAGGCTACTTATTTGTGGCTATAACCCTCTCTCAACTCTATAACTCCGAAACACGAACCTTGACAAACAAGGCTGCTGCGCGGAGAAACGAGTTGAGCGCGGTACTACCAGGGACGTGGTGGGGTCGAACTCCGAACCACTCGTTTATGAAGCGAGCGCTCTACCACTACACCACTGCCGCATAATCTTCAAGCAAGTTTCTGAATTTCTCTTTTCAAGAGCAATTATGACTTAACGTTTTAATTTAAATACTATTTAAATGTTAAATTTTTATAAAAATATATATAATAATAATAAAATAAATAATATTTAAATCAATATAAAGAGGATATTAGAGGACTTTAGAGGAGATTTTTTGCGTAATCTAATTTAGAGGAGTTTTTTCACGTAATTATCAAATTTTGAAAAAAAAAAAAAAAGGATTTTATAGGATTTTTTTTTTACTATTATAGGTTTAGCGTCTGTGTTTTCACACCTTTGTGGTTCTGACATGTTTCAATAATGCTATTTTTCATGTTAAATGACATGAATTTACAAAAGCAATTCTTTACAATCCAATAAAGGGTATTGGATTGTAAAGAATTGCTTTAGCAAACTCATGTTAATAGATGTTACATGTTAACCAGATTTGCAGACCAGGAGTGGGTGTTTTTAAATTATACTACCATCAAGAAAATATGAAAATTTAATATGAACTTTATTAAATGATTTAAAAAAAATCAACTTATAAATTTGCGATTTTAATTGATTTTGACAAACTGAGAAAAATCTTGTTTTTCTACAATACAACTTGTTTGCTTTGCATTGTCAAAATAAATCTTGTTTCTCTTCTTGAATTAAAGTTCTAAAGATTACTTAAGAATTTAAATAGTTACCATATACCAAAAGTTGAACCAAATGTGGTGGTTTAATTTTTGATATTGTAAATAGATTTTGAAAACGTTGGTTCAATTAAATTTTGTAGGAGGTAGCTATCAATATATATAACCAATTGATTATATATATTGATCAATCAAATATTTTAATGTAACAGTACTATAGTTCACCAGACCCTTCAAGTCTTAGTCTAATTAATGCCATGATGATTTAAATCGCCCATAATTATTTTATAATTTACATTTTTGGATTTTTCGGAAAAAATTGAAAACTCTTTATATTGATTCATTTAACTCAATGGAAACATCTATTGTTGAAATAGGTGGTTTGTAGGTACATCCTCTAATTAATGTTTGATGATTTCTTATTACAGATTGAACACAGATTTAGATATTTACCAATTTAACAACTTTAAATTTTTAATTTCCAATTCTTATGTTTAAGTTATAAAAAAGTATAAAACTAGAATCAGTTCTTAAAGTTCTACCAACTTTACTTTCTTGCATTACAGTTCACTAAGAATACTCTCTTTATCAACTGCAGCCCATTTCAAGGCATTTCATTTAAATAAGATTGTTAAACCGTTCTTTTTTTCTGCCTCAAATGCAAAGTTATCAGCATCTTTATTAAGCTTAATAATAGTTTTCTCCAAAGAGGCAACTTTATTTTTTGAATTTCAAAAGCAGTCTTAATCTCTTTTTCATTCTGCTTCTTGCTCAACTTCGTTTTAGATTTATGAACAAGTGATTGTTGATATTTTTGACAAGAAGATTTGACATAAGATCTCTTTGAAATTAGAAAACTGTGTGGTTCAAAATTTTTTTTTGTTTCTAATAGTCGCAAATTAAATTGCTGAAAATTTGACTTTCCATGCCATGATTTTCAACAAGAAGCATTTTGTTTTCAGTGAATCTTTGCTCAACAGCCTGAATGTGAGATAAAACTAAAACTATTTGAGAAGCAGATTAAAGAGATTTATTGTTTAAACCAAAAAGAATTTCAAACATTTTTTCTAATAAAGTTGTGACAATTCAGCCGGTTCCAACAAAAATTTAGGAGACAAACAAATACTTTGAACAAGATTATTTCTCAATATACTTTTTTTTGTAAAATACATACAGAAACTATACAAGAACTGTAAAGCGCCTAACTGAAGATTGCATAAATGATTATTGCTAAACTTCTCTTATTTTTTCCAAAACTTTGATATCATGTTTTATGGCAAAACAAAGATCAGCTGACTCTAATAACTCTTGATTTACTTTATAAGTAAAGTTAATTTTGAACAGCTTATATACAGAGTTTGCCTTTTCTAAAATATCTTTTTTCAGCAGCTGCATAAATTACAAGAGGACGTAGCCTAGTGACTCAGTAAGAAACGGAGCCATTGGATTTTCAGTTTGAAAGTGATTAAGAACTCATTTAATGATGCTTCAACTTCCTCATTACTATTTTCAATCTATCGATGTGCGCAGAACTTAAGAGGATAGTCTAAAAAAGTAGCAGCTCTTAGACATTCATAGCCAGCTCTGTGGGAAGATTCATCCAAAAATTTATACATAGTAATAAGATATTTCTTAATGTTCCAGTCAGCAGCCTTTTCTCTAGTTTGGAAAGAACGATGAAGGGTATAGAGACTACATGTCCCAATATTAATTAAAGGATCCAGTCAATCTTGTTTTCTGGGTTCATTTATCAGATTTAAAAATACTAAAATTACATTAGGACCATCAAAAGAAAATTGGAGGACTATAGTACAATCCTAAGAACTTATGCAACTATTATATTTAGAAAAAATGTCAACCACGGATGCTTTACCTAAAAAATCAGAACTCCAATAAGACATTTTTACTTCTGTATCAATGTGGCTTGTTGGGCTGGAGCTGGCATCGAAATTTGGACCTCTGGATTTTGAGCCAGATCTCTAACAACTGCGCCACAGCTGCTCAAGCCGTAAATAAAATGTAACTGCATTTTGTTTTTCCACATGTGAAACTCATTGATTTTACTGTCTGCAAATATGGAACAGAACAGTTTACTTTTTGACAGAACAGTTTACTTTTTGACTTTTTGAAAAATGGTATAAATATTTACATTTTAAAACTTCTAGTGATCAAATTACATTCACATTTAATGTTATTTAATTTCTTGACAAGACATCATATCAATCAAATTTGCTTGCTTTTAAGTTGGTTTCTGTTCAGGTTTCTGATTAATTACTTCAGATGGCTTTTTAAAAAATTTGTCTAACTGCTATCAGATGGACATCTTGCCACGTGTTTTTTCCCTTTAGCATGCTGTTTTCTATTTTCTATTCCGCTGTTTGCGATGCTGAAGGACTTTGAACAAACTTTAGAAAATGCATTTATTTCATCCTTTTTATCTCTTTGCAACCAGTATTTGAACTCATCTTCAATGAGCCACAAGTCTTGAAATTTACTTTAATATTTAGGCATTATTTCTACTTTGTTTAAACAAAAAAATTCTTTATGGTAAACATAACAGAAAATAACTACATTTAAACCAATTTTTACACTGAAAATTTGGTTAACTCTATAATATTTTATAAGTATAATTAAAGATTTTCAAAAAAACATCTATTGTAAGTAATATAAAAATCTGCTGAACAATAACAATATTATGTTATACAATTGAAAAGAAATTTGCGAACCTGAAAAAAAAAAAATTTTAAGAGGAGATTTAATCACAATTTTACCTTTTTAGAGGATAATAGAGAGCTGCGGCCATCCTATATATATATATATATATATATATATATATATATATATATATATATATATATATATATATATATATATATATATATATATATATATATATATGTATATATATATATATATATATATATATATATATATATATATATATATATATATATATATATATATATATATATATATATATATATGTATATATATATATTTATAATATATATTACACAAAGAATCTTCTTTTTTTAAAAGAAGCACACAGCAGAAAATTTACTAACTGATAATAAGTAACCTGAACAGTTTTAAAATTTTAAACTTACAACTTGGATCAACCACTAACAAAGGTTGAGAGTAGGGTGAGGTAAAATTTTGGCCATCAGATGTGTAACCACGGAAAAATATGGCATAAATTTCTCCATCATTAAGTGGTGAATTATCATCTATATATAAATATTCATTTAAATACAAATATGCTTAAATACATAAAATCTTAATTTTTAATAAAAGTTTTACCATGGAATAAATCATTTTTAAGAAATAAAAACTTTTTAGATTAATTTTATTTTGATTGGCTCTTCTCTCTCTCTCTCTCTCTCTCTCTCTCTCTCTCTCTCTCTCTCTCTCTCTATATATATATATATATATATATATATATATATATATATATATATATATATATATATATATATATATATATATATATATATATATATATACATATATATATATATATATATATATATACATATACATATATATATATATATATATATATATATATATATATATATATATATATATGTATATACATATATATATACATATATATATGTATATATATATGTATATATATATATATATATATATATATATATTAGGGTGTCCCAAAAACCTATCATCGAATTTTAATGTGCGGAATACTATATTTAGCATAAATTTTTTTTCTTTAATTCATAAATTAAAGAAAAAAAAAACAATTAATTTTTTAGTTCAAGAGTTATTTAGGTAAATTTACTTTTATATAATAATTTATTCTAAATAAATTTTGATTTAAAAATGATTTTTATGCGAGTCAATTTTTATTTGTTTCAACAAAAGCATAGTTAACAATAGGATAAATGATGCGCGTTTTATAAACAATAAAAAATGATGATGCATAAATTTAACTTAAGTCAATATATATTAAAGTAGAAATCATGTTTAAAAGTTGTTTTCAACCAAGAAACTCATTTAAAACACAGGTTTGAACTTGTATATAATACATATTTACCAGTTTCACTACTTTTTCATTATTAGTTGTATACTCTAATGCTGATTATACAACTGCAACTAAATACGTCTAATGTGGATTTTTTAAATGAAATAAATTGATTTTAGAAAATGTCTTTAGACATAAATTGTCACACTAATTCACTGAGAACAGATATTGATGATGCATCAAAAGCTACATTGAAAAAAAGACAATTTTATTTGCTAGGGTTCCCTTTACAGAGTTTTGCCCCTAATAGACTTCCAACAAATGGAGAAATGCTAATAGACTTGCCCCTAATAGACTTCCAACAAATGGAGACAGTTGGAAGAAATACAATAAACCATCTTAAAGCTGAAACCAACTACATTGTATTTTTTCATGGAATCTTCTTTCTAAAAAGCCCGAAAGCTTCTCAAGCACCTTCAAATGATTTAATGGCAATCGTTTTTCAGCTACAAACAGTAGATGAGTTTAAAAAATTTGCAGCAACAGGAAAGGTTCTTTACCAAAGTCTTATGTGTCATACTAGGTATCTGTATCCGCAACAAGTCATTTTTGCTCTTGCTGATAAGGATCTGAAAACCAAAGTTAAGACCAACATGTTAAACAAGCTGCTTTCTTATGATACCCCAGAATTTGTCAACGAGCAGTCCTACCTTTTGTTCTTGCTAATAGAGATATTCAAGAAGAAAATTCTGCTATGGAAAGAAAAAGGCATCAAAGCATGTAAAAATGAGGAAGTTTCCCATTCTTTTACCTACTTTTCAATGTGTGTAAGAACACTTGCAGTTGTAAATGACCATGCAGAACGCCACATTAAGTAAATTCAAGATTTTATTGAGAGAAAACACAATAAAGACAGGCTTCAGGATACTCTCCAGATGTTTTTTTCAATAACACAAAATATAAATGTAATTTTTAGTTGTTATTAATAAAAATGATTGTTAAAGTATAAGTACTATTTTTTATTAATTTATGTAATTCAGAGGTAGTTCAGAGGAACCAGCAAAAGATTTCAAATAACGTAATATGTAATTTAGGTAATAATATGTAGTTTAGGTAGTTTAGAGGAACTGCCTAAATTAGATAAAAAAATTACAAAGCAAAAGATTTCAAAGAACGCTACAAAGAAAAATCTTAAAATTATTTAGTTAAATATTATTTGTATTAATAATATTGGTTTATGTTATATTACAATATTATTTTTTGATATTTGAAAAAAGCGATTTTTTGATGTTTGAGAAAAATGAGTAACCCCTCAAATTGAAGGGGGGGGGGGCTCAAACTTTTTATTGTTTATAGTTTTCGAACGCTAAAAAATTTTTGTGTCAGTAATTTGATTGATGAATCTAGATTTAATTAAGAATAGTAGAAAAATAATGTATCAACTTGTTGCTCTTATGTTTGGGGCAGTTAAAAGTAGCTAAACTTTTAGGGCTTTTGTTCCCAGGCTCCAATCATTGCAATTTTTTGCAAAGCATCCTTATTTGACATAAGTATAAACATATATATATTTGGAGTTTGTTCTATGTCTAAAAGTTAACCTCAAATGTTAAAAAATGCTGTATCTGCGCAGGCGCCTGTATTCTTAAAATTATTTGCTGTTCATTTTGTTGCATTTAAAACAAATTTCTCCTTAAAAATGATGATTTATTTTGTAAAAAAAATTCATTTGAAGATTTTACTACAAGTATATTTGTTTAACATGCACAAATTTTTTTGTTTGTGTAAGTAACAATTGTAATTGGAATAATATAAATGTCATTTTAAGTTTTTATAAAAATTTATTTAGCTTTTGAGATAAGAGATTCCTTTATTTTAATTCCTCAATTTGTTAGGACCATTTTGTTATGCCTTTTTGAAGTTGTTTCTGCATTTATGATACTTGCAATTATAGCTACCTGACCTGTAGAAGAAATATTGCATCTTTTTGCAATAATGCCTTTAGACAAGGAAACTGTTACAAAATCATCATTTTTTTTCATTTTTTCAAGTCTTTATCTAACTCATCTGAGTCTACAAATTCAGAATCAGAATATTTTTAAAGACTTGATTGAAAAATGTTTTCAGACAATGATTGACCTATCACTTTTGCTTGAAATTAATTTTTTTTTTTTTGCAATCTTTCTTTTTATAAACTTTTCATAACTTTGATCCTTTTGATCCATTGTCCAGTCTTCTTCATTTGACGAGTGATTTTGCACTCTTGGAGCACACACTCACCAATACTACGACTGGCGCTTTTTTAAATGCTCGCCAAATAATTTCAAGCGTGTTTTTAAATTGCAACAAATCTTTTTTCTTAATCAAATTCTAATTAATGAGGTACAAAAAACAAATATTTTTTAAAATTGTGCATTCCAGACAAATAATTACTGTCCAGCCAGCGCTTTTTTGTGACTGATTGTCCACATTTGCAGGCCTTTTTGGTCATCCAAAAAAAAAGTCCTTCTCTGGTTAATCGTGATTTAGTCTCATCTTTCATTATTAAACCATTAACACCTGAATGAGAAATGTCAAAAAAATAATGCATTTTTACTCCTTAATTTATGTCTTGCCTCTGATCCTAACTTGTGATTAATTACTCATATTTGTCCCTCAGGTGGTTCTGACAATACAATGATCTCTTTAAACCTTTCATCTCATACTTCTTTTTTAGACTCTAAACTTACTACCCTAAAGCTATATAAGATTTTTTTTGTGATTTTTTTGTGACTTGGGTTATTGTCTTTTCTCTCTCACCTCCAACATAACCTCCTGAATTAAAAGGTAGGAGTGGAAGCTTTTATTCCTTCGCTTCAGTACCAAGTGAAGCTTCATACTACTCCATGGTTTTACCCTTCTTGTGCAACTGCTGTATCTAATCATTTTTATTGTAACCATTTTTTTCATCTTTTTTAAAAAAAGAAACTCTCTTGAGAACAAACGGCTATTTAGTATCACAAAAAATTAATGTAAAAAAATGTTGTCTAATGCTAAGCTCCATTATTCTCAGCTCACTAAATCTCGCATCTAAGAAGTTAGGCCCTAGAGACTTTTAGAATAAAATCTGGTTTTTCTAATGATGATCCTTCTCTTCTTGACAAGGTCCAAAAATGCATTTTAAACATAGTTGGACCCGCTCTACCTGCTTAGCTTGAGCCTCTTTCCCATTGTCGAAAAGTTGCATCTCAATTCTACAAATACTATCATGGTTGCTGCTGATAGGAGCTATTTTCTCTAGTTCCATTAATTAAAATTTGTTCTAGATTGACTTGTTATTCAGTAAAACCTCATTCTTTAACTGTATCTGTCACTGCATGCTCTTTTATTTCTTTTAGTCTAGTTTTTGTATATATATATACAAAAAAATTATATATATATATATATATATATATATATATATATATATATATATATATATATATATATATATACATATATAAATTTCAACTAAAATATACAAAGAAAGAAAACATTATTAAAAAAAATTATAAAAACAACATTTTTATAAAAAATTTTAATTTTAGGTGTCCTAAGAAGAATGAATGGTTTTGTCACAGAGCACCATTTTTGATTACAAACACACAAAATTTTTGTGTGTTTGTAATCAAAATATTATAATAATGTTTATCTCTAAATATAGTGCAGTGATATTTAAATATAAAATTTAACTTACAAGCAACATCTCGTCTTTTACGACTTGTTTTTGGATTTCCAGTTCCAAGACTAACTATGTTTGTAATACTTGGGTTAAATTGTAAAGCAGCATAACATTTACTTAAATTTATAACATCAAAAAGGTTTTTCAAACGACAGATAAAAACTTCCACAAACCTAAGCAACAAAATAAATATAAAAAGTCATAAGTAAATTTTTTTCAAAAAAAAATTGCTTGTAAAAATAGATTAAGTAGTGTCTCTCTCATGTCTCTTGGAAGGGTTGCCATACAATCACTTCTGTTTACTCAAAACTTAATTAGTGGTTGCTTGATGCCTTGTTGTGAGTATATTTCTTAAAAAATTGTTATTTTCTGATGCTTGTGTGATAATATTCACTGCTTTAAGTAAATTTGTCACTTAACTTTTGTTTTTTGCGAATCCATTTTGAGATTTGAAATAAAAATACATATTTTATTATGCACTACATACAATGCACTATATTTTATCAAGTATAATACACTCTACAACTTTGCATGATGTCAACAATACTAAAAAAAATACTTTTTATATAGTGCTAAACTTTATGCATTAGATATTGAGAGAAAAACAAAAAAATGACATACTTAAATACCACAGTGTCTTTAAAAGGTATATATTTAACTTTAACGGAACTTTTAAATACACTTGAAAAAATAGTAGAAGGAGCTATAAAAAAATTTTAAGTTAAAAAAAAATGTTCACTAATTTTAAATTGTTTATTTAATTCTTAAATTAGTTAAGTAAAGGTCATACCTGTACAACTTGTTTTTTTTAATACCCACTCATTCTTACATAAACATTTAAAGCTTCCCAGAGAATTAGTGCAAACCCCTTCATTCCAGCTACAATTATTTTCTTTAATGCATTCACTAACATCTAAAAAAAAAAGTTTTTCTGTGCATTTCATACCCTGAAACAAAACGATTCATGGTTTTTCCATTAAAGAAATATTAATTCAAATTTTTATTCAAGTAATTTATTACTATTTTATCATAAATTTATACATTATCACAGTATTTCTGACATTCAACACACAAGTGTTTGTTAAAAAAGTCAATAGATGGTTTAAAAGTGCATTCTAGTTTAGCGTCAAAGAAAGAATACATTACATGTAATAAGTTACAAATATAAAGTATATAAATATTTAGTAAAATTTTTTTAAAAAGTAATTGGATAAAAGATTAACAGAATAATATATAATATATAATAATATATAATATTATATAAACATTGTAAAACTTAAGAAACTAATGATTTCTTTTTTTGTAAATGTAGATTTGTAAATCCAATCTTTTTCAAAAACATTTAAACTATATATATATATATATATATATATATATATATATATATATATATATATATATATATATATATATATATATATATATATATATATATATATATAAATATATATATATATATATATATATATATATATATATATATATATATATATATATATATATATATATATATATATATATATATATTATCTACTATAGCATATTATATTATATCCAGTATTATATTAAATTACAGAGTCACCCTAATATATATATATATATATATATATATATATATATATATATATATATATATATATATATATATATATATATATATATATATATATCCTTATAGTGTAGTCGAAAGAGTCGTTTAATGTAAAAAAAAGTCTCTTACGACTACAATTTTAATTACCTCGTCTCTTAAGCTGTATTTGATTGTCGTCGAAATGTCAAAGCAATTAAATTAATGCGGAAGTACATTAAATTTTATGGTTTTTTAAAAAATTTTTAAAAAACCGCAATAATAACGACTAGAAAGTTTTTTTTTAATTTGTAGTGTTTTTGTTTTTGTTTTATTAAAAAACATTTTTAAAACATGCGTAAATGTTGCTACATCAACTATCTTATAGCCTGACTCGCAACGGAGTGCTGCTACATCGACTGACAAATAGCCTGACTCGCAAGGGAGTGCTGCTACATCGACTGACAAATAGCCTGACTTGCAAGGGAGTGCTGCTACAACGACTGACAAATAGCCTGACTTGCAAGGGAGTGCTGCTACATCGACTGAGGGTTTGGTTTGGGCAGGCAGTCTATCATTTAAAAAAAAAAAAAAAATTTAAGTTTTTAAACTTTTTCTGGTCTGGTTTATTAATGCGCTCTTTAAAACTACAGTTTATGGGAAACTCTTTTTAACTACCATGCAAAAGTATATATATATATATATATATATATATATATATATATATATATATATATATATATATATATATATATATATATATATATATATATATATATATATACATATATTTATTTACTTTTACTATTTATGTGTACTCTACTTTTGCTATTTATATATAATATTTCTGCAGTGAGTTATTTCTAAAAACAAAAAAACAAAAAATAAACAACAAAAAAACAAAGAACATCAAAAATTATAAACAAGCATTTGTTTTTAGAGAACTTATGAATGAACTTGAATCATAATTTATAATGCTTTAATGAACACAAGTCATTATACTATTTTTATTTATTTATATAGGTAGTTAATATTTATAGAAATTAATATTTATGGAAAAATAAGCTCAACCTTGACTGAAAATCCTTTACATAAATTTCAAAAACAGTTATAAAATTTTCAAGGTTAACTAACACTTTCACTTGTGGTGTAGTAACAAGCAAAAAATGAATGATTCAAACAAATAAAAGAATGCCTATGTTAAAAAAATAAATAATGCAATTAAGTTTTTGGAATAATTAACACAAGATTGTGCTTAATTAATGCAAACATTAACACAAAAATTTTTAAAACATTTGGAAATTCTATTTATAAATTTTATTACACTTCACTGTAATTAATACTAAAAATCAAATTTGATTTTTTTTTGAATACTTTAAACTGCTTTAGATATGCAATCAGCATAATGTCATGGTTTTTTAGCATTTACTCTTAATTTTGTTTTTTTTTAATTTCTTTTTCATATGAATTATATCTAAGACACAAATAACAAGTTTGTTTTCATACAAATTATAACTAAGACACAAATAACTTGTTTGTTTTCATATGAATTATAACTAAGACACAAATAACTTGTTTGTTTTCATATGAATTATAACTAAAACACAAATAACTTGTTTGCTCAAGTTTACTTGTTTCAATAATAATTCAAATTAAATTAAGAAACAAACAATTTACAACTATTGTTTATCATAAAATATCAAATTTAACTTAAAGTTCAAAATAGATATTTCATAAGTATTTTCAAAACAACATTTTTATACATCTAATAAAATATATAACACTAACTCAAAACAATAAATGAAAAATGATTAAAAAAAAGTCTTACCAAAACAATTCAAAAGAGTTGTGTTTATCAAAGAACTACTTATACCATTACACAGATTTGTATAAACCCCATTTGAATATGTGTAGACACAGGTGTTGTTGCATTTATCTAAAATTGAATTATAATATAAATTGTTGTTCCTTCCGTATTTGTATCCTTCCGTACTGTTGCATATCTTGTATTCTTTTAATCACAGTTTTTTTTTTTAATTAAACAGTGAGTTGAGTAACTTTGAATAACTTGTGTTCTTTAAAAGTTAGTTTTTTTTTTTTTTAATTTCAATGCTAGAAAAAAAAAGTTTCACCACCTTAAAGCTCTTGGTTAAGTAAGGGCTAGAAATGGTATCTTGATAAAAATACTTATCTTGGGCAGATGTTAACTGCATACAGCTAAAACTCTATTGCCTTGGAGCATTTGGTTGAGCAAAGACTAGAGATGGTATCTAGATAAAAATACTCATCTTGGGCAGATGTTACATTGTTTCCTGCTTAGGATGATGAATGCAGGATCTTCTTGACTCTACTCATAGATTTTTGCTTGTGCATCCTTGAAAATGGCTACGTAACTCTACCATAATGATCTACCTGACAACTTTATGTCTAAAACGGTTTGTTTTACTGACAATTCAACTTTATACTCCTTTCTTGACAAAAAAGTCTTCTATTTTAGATTGCTTAGAACAGAAAGCTGATTTTGAATCTACAATCACTTTTGTAACAGATTAGAGCATGCAGTGGCTTGTTAATTTTAACTCCAACAAAAATCAGTTATTAACTGAAAACAACTTAATACTATCGATATTCCTATATTGATGAATGACAACCATCTCACTGAGTCCTCTTCTTTACATCTTCTTGGATTATCGCTCACTACTTACCTCTCATGGAAACCATATATACAATAGATTGCTTATTCATCATTTGCTAAAGTTGTTTCTTTTTATTTTGCTTGCAATTTTCTTACTTCTGATTCCATTCTCTACCTCTACAAATCTCTTATTCGCCACTGTATGGAATACTGTTGTCATATTTGGGCTGGTACTGGAATAATACTAGAAAAGCAAAGATAAAATTTATAGAGCAAGATAACGATTAACAGATGACTCAAAAGATTGTAAATTAAAAATTCAAACAATTTACATACAATGTTAAACCAAAAAGAGATTGTTTAAAATTGATTTATTCATTTATTCATATTTGTTTATTCTCTTAACTCTTATTTTTTATTACTAAAACAATAAAAGTATTTTTTTAAACTTAATTTATAAGAATTTATTAATAATAATTAACAATAAATTTAAATAAAAATTATATATACATATATATATATATATATATATATATATATATATATATATATATATATATATATATATATATATATATATATATAGAGAGAGAGAGAGAGAGAGAGAGAGAGAGAGAGAGAAAGAGAGAGAAATCTGCCGAGTTTGAGCCTCTCTTCCATTATCACAAAGTTGCATCTATTTTTCTTTTCTACATATACTATCATAGTCGCTGCTCAAAGGAGCTATCATCTTTAGTTCCATCAACCAAAACTCATTCTCGCTGGACTCACTATTCAGCAAAGTCTCATCCTTTTATTATATCTTCACCTCTATGCTCTAAAAACTTTTATTTGTCTAGTTTTTTTTTCGTGAAATTTAACCTAAAAACTTTCTTCCATTTTAATGTTTTATATACCTCTTTCCTATTTAAATGCTTTTTAACTCTATTCTTTGTTTTCTAGTAACTCACACATGAAAAGTTTTACTCTCAACAAGACTCACAGTCTTGTTGAGAGTAAATCAGAATAAGAAACAAAAAATCAAAAAGTTTACATACAATGTAAAAATGCAAATAGATTGTTTGATTTAAAATTTTGATTTATTCATTCTATTTATATTCGTTTTTTCTCTCAACTCTTATATTTTATTACTAAAACAACACAAGTTTTTTTTTAAACTTAATTTATGAGACTTTATTATTTTAATTAACAAAAATCTACAAAAAAAAAATTTTTTTAAAAAACTTCTGTAAAATTTTCGTAACTTTGAGCTATATTTAACAAAAAAATGATTTTATTAAAAAATATAAAATGACTCACCAACACAGCTGGCATTATCCTGACCCAGCCTCCATTCATTTTTACACGAACAAAAATAACTGCCATTTGTGTTTATGCAGACTCCATTGCTCCAAGAACATGGCAGTGGCATACTGATGCACTCATTGATGTCTTAACGAATTTAAAAATTTTTGAAAAAAAATATCCATTATACTTTTAAATTATAAATCATGCACTTTCGACATTTTTATTATGATATCCTTTAAAATGAATTGCTAATAATATTTAACTTAAAATAATAAATTACTTAACTAAATTTTTAACATTGTATACCCACTAATTCAACATGAAAATCAGATTAATTTGTAAAGTTTGATACAAATTTTGATAAAAAATTAGTGGAGAAAAAATTAGTGGAGGTTATTTTAGAAATTCCAACCAAAATTTTAAAACAGAACATTTTTTTTCACAATAAACAGGGCTTGAAATAAAAAACTCTTTTCTAGTAATTCCAACAAAATTTTAAAAACAGCATTATTTTTTTTTTCCACAATAAAGATTTTCAAAACTTTGATTTAAGTCAGTTTTCTAGGTTTACTATCAAGAATCATTATTACACTAAAATTTAAAACTACAGTAGCAGATAAATATTAAATGTTTCACAATGCATGGCAAGGCTCTACCACACACTGACAGTTTTGCATATGTTTGCTATGCTTTCAAAGTGGTTCAAAAGTTACCAGTTAGAAAAAAATCAATAATTGCGAGATTTATAAAATACTTTATTGAGAACTACAAGCCTAATAATTTTATCTTCTGCAATTTGTTCTAAATGTAGACAAATTCCTCTTGAAGTTGAAAAAGAGGAAAAAACAAATAAAGATCTATTATGTGTTTAAAAATTTTTTTAAGCCATTTTTACAACTCTGATAAAATTAAATCCTTTGCATTGCAAACAGTAGATCTGTATACCGCATGTACAAAAATAATTATCTAAATCTTGAGTTAAAGTTTAGTATAATTATTATTTTATTGAGTTGTAGTTTATACTTATCCATCTATTACTAAATCAATCAAAAGATAAACAAGTTAACAAAATAATTATTAACAAAATAATCTAATTGTCAATGATATCAATACAAAGTAGCCCTAAAATAGCAAACAAAAATACGAGCCATAATTCAAATATCCAACAAAAAGAAGCAAGAAAAAAAGTATAACATAAATTAAATAAATGAAAAAAGAAGCAAAAGATTTAAAGATACTTTAATTTTTTCTTTCTTTTTGATGATTATTAGTGAGCCACATTATTTTTTTGTACAATTCATTAATATTTGTAAATAATTTATTCTTATTACGTTATAGAATTAATTTATTCATATAACAATATATACTTATCTCTATAGCTTATATTAGTGATTATATAAATATTATATAATTTAATCTTTCAATTTTTGTTATTTATTATATATTTACATAACTACCATTTTTTATTACTTGAACTTTATCTATTATTTGTACATTTATTTTTATCTATTTTTTTATTCATTTTTATTGTAACATTTTCCCCTAGTATATTGTTTCGACACAATATACTAGGGGAAAATTTTATTACAATATGTTCATATTATATTTGCTTGTTAGTGTTTTTGTTAGTTGTCAACACTATCACTAAGTTTTGTATAACCTATCTGTATTTGTGTTATAATAGATTTTGGTTTCTTATGAGAATTTGGCTTCATAACTACTCTCTCATTATATTTCTCATCTCATTCGTTATATTCTTAATCACTCCTAAGTTTTTTCATTAGCCTCTGTGCTTATCAATAACAAAACATTACACATAATAACATACTATCATGTTATGGAAACTCTGCATCTTTGCTGAGTATTTTAATTTCCATAACATTATAGACAGAATTTTATGAAAATTAAACATGATAGACAACTTTTTTTTTTAAACTACATCTATAGTCCAAATTATAATTATGTAGTTCATCATGAATTAAAGATTTACTTCCCAAAATTACTTGAGTCTGTTTTTGTTGAAATCATTAAGCCCCACAAAACAAATATCCTATTTGGTCATATATATCATCATCTATCAATGAATAAAAAATTGAAAAATTTTCAAAACCACTTCTTGGAAAGTTAAGCAAAGAAAAAAAATTTTTAAAAATCTTAAAATCATTTTAATGGATGATTTCAATGCAGAACTACTGAGCTATAGTAAATCTAATATTATTTCCATTATATTATTATTATTCTAATATTATTTCCATATATAAAAAAATTTGACCCTAACAAATTTATTCTAGAAATTTCTAAAATCAACTGGGAGTTTATGATTAAAAAAGGTGACAATATTAATGAATCTATCAATTAATTTTTAAAAACATTGAATAGGGTTTTAGAACAATGTGCCCCTCTATAAAACTTTGATTAAAAATCAAATCAAACTTAAATATAAACACTGGATCTCTATAGACATACTTAAACCAATTTCTGTAAAAAACAAACTCTATAAAAAATTAGGACTTCTTTTTCTTCTTTTTATTCATGACTTAAATACTTCTTTTAAACTTGCAACTGCTTAATATTTTGCTGATGATACTTACATGGTACTGGCTGACAATCCACTTAAAAAAATCAACAAATATATTATTAGTGATATTGGAAATTTTGTTCATTGGCTTCAATCTAATAAACTATTTATTAATTCTAACAAAACAGAGTTAATCATATTTAAATCCAATCAGGCACCATACAATGAGCACAAAAAAATTATGCTTTAAACTCTATTAAATAACTTGGGATTAAAATTGATTATAATTTCTTTTTCAAGGCCATCTAAATGACTTAGAAATGAAACTCAGCAGATCTAATGGAATGTTAGGCAAAGTCTGCCATTATGTAAATCTAGAAACAATGCTAAATATATATTATGCTATTTTGGGGGCCCATCTTATATATGCATCTGATATATGTCAAGTATGGTGACAATCCCATAAACAAATTTTTTTAAGGTTGTCTCATCTTCAAAATAAAGCAATGAAAATAATATATTTTCAGTATAATAACTTTTAATCTAATATACATAATTTAACTTCCAATTTGACTGGAATTATCATCACAAAAACCTTCCCCTATCATTCAACAATTTCTTTAAATAAGTACAAACTGTCACTATCATCTTCGTTCCATCAGTAGCTCAAACTTAGTTATTACAAAATATCATTCTGCTAAATATTAAAAAATATCATTCTGCTAAATATTGAAATAAATCCATTATATATCAATCTATTGATTATCTAACAAACTACATCCTAATTTAACATCTTTTAATTAAATCTCAGAATTTTTAACCAAACTTTTTAATTATTTGTAAAAAAAAACAATTAAATATTTTTACAAATTAATATTGAAATTCTTTATTCTATCTATTATTTTGTGATCCTTAAGTTTTTAACATGACATTTTAAACATTTTGAAATTCTTTATTTATTCATTTTTTCATTCTAATATTAAAATAATATTTGTTGACATTTTATTTATCTATATATTTATTTATCTCTTTTCATTCAACTATTCTTTACTTTGAACTAAATTTTTGTTGTTCCTGTCATTATTTACTAAATTTTTGTTGCTTCTATTATTGCCTTTATTTATGAAATTCTCCTAGCATTATTTTTATTATTATTGGGTCAAATCATTAAATTTCAACCAATTCGAAGAAAACTTTGTGGGTCACCATCTCTGATTTTCCTAATTTTTATATATTGTTATGTGCATTATGTAGATAGGTTAGATTTAAAATTTCGGACTTCCAAGTATAATGGTTCAGAAATTAAAGTCTTAGAAACATGACACAGTGGCCCCCCTCAATTTACAAATGATTAAAACAGACTACTTTAGAGCTGTATAACTTTTTTCTCACTTTCAACAAATGTCTCATTTTTCCTAGAACTAATTTTTTAAAAGTTCTCTCTTTAAAAAGGTGGTTTTTATTAACTTTTGTTAAATTAGAAAAAAATTATGACCCCCTTAACATTGGAAAAAATCCTAAAATTGCTAAATTATGCCAAGATGAAACTAACTGTAGCATTATTCTATTCATCCACAAGTTTTTACAAATGAGTTTTTTGATTAGCTACTACTGTCTTCAATAAATGGGCAAAATATAGATAGCTTGTTACAGTTTAGAATTCAGATAAATTTAAAAGCAAAATGTCCACTCGCCTAAAAAGTCCAATTTTTAGCCATTTTGAGATGCTTGTATATTTTTCTAACACTTTTTTTTTTATCTAAGATTAACAGCATATAAGACCATTAGATCCAAATATCTAAAAATACAAACATAAACTTGTCAAATTTAGACCAAAAATGCCAGCATTTATAAATAACCCAATTTTTCAATTATCAGCAGTTTAATGTGTTACTAGAAACCAGTGCTTCTCTAATCTGTCTACCAGCCTACGTAAAGGGTGAAACTAATTAGAAGTCATTTCTTAATAAAAAGAAAGATATGCTTGGTTGTCCTCTCCTTGATCTGGTCTTTATAATAGATAGAGGCACAAATAAAGGGGAAAGTAACTTTTAAGAGACCTTCATTATTGTTCAAATGAAGGTCTCTAAATTTTGATATTCAGATAATATCTGAACATCTAAATTAATTTCAAAATGAAACAATTATTTCTTTAAATTCTATTTTAATATAGTCTGTATATGGTTTGGGGAGGGCCCACTCACTACGGTTAGGAGGAGGGGGTTTGGGGTGGCACCAATCAAAGGAGAAGGGGGCAACCAACTTACAAAGATACAAGCATTTATTTTCATTTCATTCAACATGCAACACAAATGATTCATTTTCTAATGAACATACAGTTAAGGCCATTAGATCTTTATTGCATTTTTTAATGCTTTTATCATAAGATACAAATTTTGAAATAATGACTATCAAGTGCTGTCTACTTTTTTATATTTACATACTTTAACATGTAATCTTATGCGCAAGGCATTGTAGGATGTCTTGGTAGTATAGAAATAAGTTCACAACAAACTTAGCTAAAACTCTGCAAAGTTTCTGTTTTATATTGTGTTATTCTTTAATAAATAATACTCTTTGTTGTTCGAAATGCCTTTATATTGTGGCGCAACTAACTTAAAATACA